CGGCGGGTGGACGCAGGGAGGGGCCCAGGCGGAAGGAGAGCCAGGGAGTCTTCAACAGTTTATTAGAAAGAATGTAGACATTAAAAAAATCCCCGCTGCTCTGAACATAAATTGAGGTTTTTCAGCCCGGTTAGAAGCCGCCCGCGCGTGTGCGCCCGAGGGTCTGCCACTCCCTTCCACACCCACAGTGCAAATACCATTTGGTCTAAACGTAGAGATGGACAAGCGACGAGGTACAGCCGCCCCGAGGAGGGGGAAGGCGCCAGGGCCGAGCGGTACCGGGAGCACCGGCCGGGGGGCGCGGCTGGGCACACGACTCATAATTAAACACCAAACAAGGAGAAATTTGTTGCCTTTAACAATACAAACTTTAGTGGAACAGACCTGAAGACACCACAGAGGTACTGCGCATCGCCTGCTGAATTTTGTGAGCCAATGACAACATCCGTGTTTGAAGCCAGTTTTGTTCCCGGTACAAATGTACGATTTCAGGCCGCAGAGGGGAAAAAAAAAATGCTCATTTACCACTTGGTGTAAATTCAGGATTCTCCCATGGTAATTATATCTGCTACGAGGCAAGGAGGCTCTGTAAACTTTATTGCGACTGTTCTGTATCGATTGCCTACACCTCAACTGGGTTTTTTTTTTTTTTTTTGGAAGTCTGGAAAACGGTTCATGCATAACGTTATTGCCTCTCGTGGCTTAAGACCGCCCCGTGCAATGGTACACACCTACCATCAGTGAAGCCATTTAAAATGGACTGAAAATGGGTTAAAGGATGCAGGATCTCCCTTTAGGGCTATCAACTCAGGAATTCTTATCTCAATTATGAAATGTTGTGATGAAGTTCTTTCCCCAAACCCTGAAGACGACAGTTTTCCTTACTCCAGATCTGGCATTTCTAGAGAGAAAGAGAACAGCATTAGTGGTTGGGTTGGGTTTTTTGTTTTGTTTTAAAAAGCTACCAGAAGCCCCACTCTATCACAAGGGACGCAAGCAAGAAGATCCGGCCCTCACCCAAGAAGGGCACGGGGCAGTTTAAGGTCTCTGCCCTCACCCCCGAAGCTCAGAGCTGGTTCTTCACAAGGAATCTGTGCACAGCCACTGCTGCAAACGCAGAAGTTACTGGAGCAGGGCCAGCACCACACACACTGACGGCCCGTGCACATGCCTGCTGCTCTTAAAGCCAAAGCCTCCCCAGGACTACAGCTGGCTGGGAAGGTCAAACTGGTATTTCATGCTTGTGTGGAACGGCTTTCACTAGATTATATCGTCTCACACTGGCACTGGCATTAGCTCGCAGCCAGGATTTAGCGAGACTGACAGGACAGAACATCTGCCAGCTCTGCTCAAGGCTCTCGCTCAACCAGGAGCATTCAGCAAGCACTCATGCTGCTGCAGCGCGCAGAAACAAATGTGAACGTCAACTTACTTTCGTCGTCACTGTCTGGTGAGTCCTGGAAAGAAGGAGAAACATTAACTGAAACAGGCTGCGCTTGAAGGCGCTTTTCCCTCCACCACCCCTAACCCAGCAAACGAGCTGCCATTTCCCACATCTAGGAGCAAGCATGCTCTCCGTCAGAGCGGGTATTTTGAGGAACTCTGGGTTCTCCACGACATGCTTCGTTTGGCCTTGCTGGCCAGAGCCTACGGACCCGCAATAACCGCGGTCACTGCAGAGGTAGGTGACACCGAGCTGCCTGGGCACTGCAAGCATCGACGCCACCGCCCCCAGCACCGCTGCTGGAGGGGAGGACAATGGCTTCTGCCAGATGACATCGTTTGTCCAGACAAGGTTTGGTGCAGTTTAACCTTTTAACAGTGATGAAGAGGGAACGCAAGTTTGACTTCAGCAAGCAGCAGTGAATGTGCACGGCGCTGCGCCAGCCCTGCACATATTTACTGCAAACAAAGTACTTACATCGTCTGCCCCATCTACTTCTGGCAAGTCTACGTCATCATCTCCGCCCATGTTGTTCATCATCTGTTCCAGAGAGATAATAGCCACGTTACAGGGTGAAGCCAACTGCACTCTCTATGTGAACTAGGGGAGCACTGTAAAAATCTAAAAATAGCTTAAAACTGTTACAACCGACAGCCACCAGTTGCTTTGGCAAATCAGCTGCACCTATGCAGAAATTAAAGGTGAGCATGCAAAAAAAATTTAAGTTAATTGCCTTGCAAACCAACCGGTGCACTGAGTTAGTGCCGGCATCTACAACAGGACATACATTTGTTTCATATTTGATAGCAAGCACTGGTCGTCTCACTGCCGCGCCAACAGCCCGCAGGACGGGCTAAAGCTGGCAGCGGCTGTGCCTCAGCAAACCAGCAGCGCCCGCGCCGAGACCGGCGGCCGGGAGTCAGTCCCTACTTGCCTACACACGGCCCAGAAGGAAACCCAGACCTCCAGGTACTCATCTTCCCATACCTCAGAAAAGCGATCAAAATTGGACATGTCTTCATCTGAATCATCTTCCCAGTCTTTCCAGTTGTTGAAGTCCACACTGAGCCAGTTGAGCTGCACATCAACAGAAGAAGTTATTTAAGGACAAGCGAGTAACAAGTTGTTACTGTTCAGAAAAGGAAGGTTAGTGAGAACTGCCGTTCCAATCAGAAGCACGGTAAGTGACCCATTAACTGCTACATAATTTAAACATGACCCAAATATTAAACAAAATTAAAAACCAGGGGAGGCAACAGGCACTACTACCCTGGCCATCACGGAGCCCAAACCCACCTTTGCCCTCTCTTTTGTTAACCTTGGCCATGCCTGACCAGATTCTCCTTTTCGTAAACAACACAAGATAGATCTGTCTGTTCTTTTATGCTTTGATTCCTGAAAAAGAAAAGAGCAACTATCTGTTAGTATGATCATCACGAACTTCACCAGGAACTGCTTACATTGGACTCATTTGTCTTAAGCTATCAACTTATTCTTTGTCCTGAAAAATACCGTCCAGAGATGCTTTCATAGATCTGCGATTAAGCACGCTCTCAGAGTCTAAGGAAGGATTTGCCCACAATACCAGAAGTAGCCGAAAGAACGGACAGTATTTTTCAGGATACAGCCCTAAGAACACAGTAGGAGTCAAGAGGATACTTACATTTGGATCAATATTATTAAAAAGGTCAATTTCGTTTAAATGTTTAAAGTTATCACTTCCTCCAAGACAACTGTTAAGAGAAAAAAAAATGGTGGTGTTTAGCAGGGAACATCTTAAAGAACAAATAGGCTTCACTAACAGAACTTGCTACTTTCAGAAAAATGTCACCTAATCAGTACCAGCGTGGCCTTTAGGTATCCCCCCGTGCCTTTCAGCTTTGTGCAGGCCCAAGGTACTTACCTGAACGTAAGTTTGGATTTTTCAAAATTTACATTAACATCTTTACTGTCTTCAACGCAAAATTCAATAAAGACATAGTCCCTTCGGTCGTACCACTTCGCAGAAGCAGGCTGCCTGTGAACAGACCATTTAAGAGAAGTTCAAATCAAGTTTCGCATCTGTCATCAATACTGATAAACTCGCCCTTCCATGCTGCCAGTACACGTCGCGTTGGCTTTCCTTACGTTTCTACCAATACACAACTAGAGCAGTTACTTCTCCCTGTTCTTAAAAGCTGCGTTACTAGCTTATTATTAATAACCTTTAAAAGGTGCTTAAGGCTGAAAAAAGATGTGAAGAATAAAGAGATACAATGCATTCAGTGCCTAACGCCCCCAAAAAGTTCGTGCTGATGTTCCTTGAAGGAGCTATCAAAACTTAGGCGACCAAAATAAGCATTACAGCAAATCAAGATTATGACAAACTTTTCAAGACGAGCTACTACAGATGATGGCAAAATTTCAGTCACCTCTAACAGCTCCACAGACTGACCTACTTCTTGCTACAACCTTCTACGTACAGACTTTAGCTCCTTGGTGCCCCTCTGGCTTTCCACAAACACCGCAACAAGCAACAGCCCATCCAGAGCACCAGAAAACGCTGCAGGACTCTTGACCAACTCTTGGGCGTTTGCAGTTGCACAGTGAGAACCCACCCGCAACACTCAGGCACGGCCATTCTCGCTGGGCTGGTGAAAGCGACCCCGGCTCGGCACACCTTGGCCGAGGACTCCCCACCACTTTCGGTTTTTCTCCTGGCAACTCAGGCCAAGCCCACAACCGCCCGTCTGCATTCCAGCAGAAAGCAAACGGCCGCCCAGCACGAGCTGCTGTTGCTAAGGGACAGAAGACCACGGGTGCTTCTCACGCTTCGGCTGTCTTCCAGAGGTGCAAGATCAAAGCTGCAATTTCATAGCTAACGCCCCTGCAGAGAAGACCTCGAAGGCCTACCTGCGAGTTGGGCTGAAGTCAAACGCTCCAAGCTGAATGGTCACTCACCCCAATATTTATTGCAACTACACTGACTATAGGAAGCTAAAGCACACGAGGACACAAAGAAAGCCACCGTTCCTATCTGTACGTGAGAGAGCGGCTTCCACTTCACACACCGAGGAGTGGACGTTTGGTCTCTGTGCTGCACTCTAAGCACTGCAGCACAATAACCTGACAAAAGAGTAATTAACTTTTCAGAACATTTCTTAAGGTGACTATTGCTAAACTTTCAGAACAGATTCTGACTCACCTGGTCATCAACCAATTCAATTCTCGATATTGAACTGTGACACATTTAGTAAAGCTACTTACTGAGCACTGCTCCCCAAAGGAACCCCGCTCCCTCGCCCCATGGCTCGTTCCCACCCTGCTCCCAGCACAACTGTCCGTGTATCTGAAGGATGAACTGAATCAGGACCCAGACCAGCCAGCTCTGAGCTCCGTCAGTGCTGCAAGTACATTGCAATTCAGCTATACAAACGCTGGTGCCAGCTCAAGGAAAGGCTGGTTCAGGGGCAGAAGCAGCCGCGACTGCCTCTCCCAGCATTAGCACCCGTTGGAGTTATCAGTGCAGAAAACATCCGAGCAGAGGCCAGTAACAGAGCATTTAACTTCTGAGAGCATGAAAGACAGGCGGTTTCTGAATGCAACCTTTAGTTTCAAGCAAGATACTATCCCACTGGGTGAAAAACTTAACACTTTCCCTTTTAGCAGCATTTTTCGGAAATGCTAAGGCATCTACTTATTCAGGTACAGTACGACAGCAGAGTAGCAATTTTCTTACTACGGTATTTTTAATTCCTTATCGGACACAAGTTTCCTCTTCTAATAGGGAATGAAAGACTCTCAGAGGAAAAAAAAGAGGATGAGAAGCAACCTGCTCTGTTCCCTCTGCGCTTGGGCACTGCACAAAGTCCCGCTGCGTGGAACTTGGTACATCACTCAAACGCACTGTTATCAGAACAGAAATCTCAGTGTCCCTGCTCATGACGAGGCAGGGGCTTTCAATGTCAATGGAGATATCTCCGGCCTTCCCAGGGAGCTGCACGCATTCCTCAGTCTCGTAGCTTTGGTTTGGCCGTGACCTCAGTATCTTTGCCAAGATCGGGGGTTGTGAGGCACCAATGGCCTGTTCACAGCACTTCCAGATATTTTACTGAAGTGTCCTAGAGCTGAAGGAAAGCTCGCATGCATCCGAGCTACAGCAAGGAATAAAAGAGACCCAAGAAAATTTACATGATTCACATTTCTAACACTAAACATATGCTGCCTCCCCAGATATTTAGTACTTACCGCTCTGAATGTGCCTACTGTAATTAAAACTAGGCTGGAGTTGCCTCTCATTCTTTTTATCTGTTTTTCAGATCTCTCCTCCTCCCAAAGGGAGGATGGAAACCTTCCTCTGGCTGCTTGCAGTGCTTCAGTCAGGACTTACCGTTCAAACCAGTAACGCAGGATACGCTGGAACTGCTAACCAAAGTTACGGTTGAGACGGAAGTCGCAGCTAATTTGCGCTGCCTGCCTACAGGGAGATTCCTAGGAGGCAACTGCACACACGGAAGCCAATGGTAAAGCGTGCACGTGCTCCGAGCACTTCAGAGAGATGGCTCCCCTGCACCCACGGAAAATTTTCTACTTTCTTACAGACACTGAGAAACCCTGCCAGGACTTCTAAGCGTAGCTACTTGTTACATGGAGAGCCTAACATCTCCTTCTTGCTCAACCAAACTAACCCCAAGGGACCTCAGCCTTATGCCAACAGTGTCACCCTGAGTAGGCGCTTTGGTTATGTATCATCCCCACGTCCCAATGGGATTCAGATTCTTTGAAACAGAGAAGTTAATTTAAACGTGCTATATCCTGTGTAGTAATAACTATAGCAGACCCAGAGTGGCGTACAGCCCAGGAACGAGTCACCCGTATTCCACGTTCGGCGAGGATTTCTTCTGTCAAATCCGTGTTTGCTGCCACCTGCATGTTTTGGTGACTTCCCAAACAGACACAGCCACCACGTATCTGCATTTGACCATCGCTTCTAGTCATCACATTCAGAAGACGACCCTGACAACTGTATTGCAGAACAGGTTCTAGAAGCTTCACAGCAGCAGTTTCCTGCCGATGGGCGACGTGCAGGCTCGGCTTCATCCAAGAGGCCTCACTGCTCCGTCTGGCCGGCGGGGGCTCCACGGTGGGCTGCCAGCAACACCAGGAGCCGCGGTTCTGGCGCGGATGCCCCGCTCTCCTGTGTAACCAAGGCACAGAAGCAGCTCCTTATGCGCTGCACTTGCGAGCTGAATCTCGAGTCTTACTGGTGGTGGCTCGGTGCGATTCAAGAAGCTTCCAAACCTGTCCTCGTGCTTCCTTGTCCACTCCACAGACTGCGCCTATTGGAAGCCCGTTTTTGTTTCCTGGAGAGTATCCTGACAATTCCTACAGTTTGAGGGCACTGCAAGTCATCTGCTGAACAATTTTCACCCCCAGACAGCAGTAAGAAACCTGTTTTACATAATTAGCTTCGCTTTCATTTAAATGTTCTGAAAGGCTTTTTTTTTAATTAAAAAAACTAGTTTCAGACTATAGACAATTTTAAAGAGGGACGTAGTATCGCTGTAGTTTCAAGATGACGTATTCTACAGACATTAAATGAAAAACTGTAACCTTATTACATCCTTCTCGCTTTCAGTCACGTTAAGATGAAGCAGCCCCACAATTCAGAGTTTCAGGACAGCCACGCTGAAGTCGAGGCCTCACTGGGGACAAGCGGGCAAAAAGCAACTGGTCACATCGGCTGCTTCACCGAGCGGTAACGCCTTCCTCGGTCCCTGCGGCAGATCAACCTTTCTGACAAACAAAAACCTCTGAGAAGTGCCACCACCTTCAGTCATTTAAGCCAAACACACGGAAATCCAGACTGCCAGTGGGCAACGCTGCAATCAGCTTCAGAGGCAGCACACCTCTTCCTTAACAACCAGATTTCGCTCTTAAAAGCGTCGCGCTGCGAAGTTCAGCTCCTCTTTCATGTGCGTTGCTAGAGAACATCGACGTTGACTGGAGCTCTGTTATGAGCAGCATGTGCCAGTTTTGGGTCACCGAAGCAGCCTCAATAGAATTACAGTGACGCCAGCTAATTAGGGCTCCGCAGCACGGCACGAGCACTCCCGTAGCGTCGAGGTACTTCGGGGCGCCGGCTTCCGCTCAGGACAGACAGGAGGCCACGCCGGGCCATGCTCAGAGAGGCGACCCAGCCGCTCGGCTCCTCTCCCCTTCCCAGCCAGCTCGGCTCCGGGAGCAGCGTGGCCAAGGGCTGGGGCAGCACCGGGGCTGCCCGCTCCCCCCACGCGGGCGGCAGGGAGGTTTTCCACGCAGGGCTCCTGCGCTTGCTTCAGAGAGGTGCCTTTTCGCTGCTATTCGGTTTTTACGTTGAGAGATTAACGCTCATACCCAGATTACCGCATTGCTCGCGGGTCCGCACGCTGTGGGCGGTAGAACGCGCGACTTACCGGGAATTTCTCGCAGTTTTGGCCACCGCCGCTCGGTGGGTGTCAGCGCCGTTCAGGCTACCGAGCAGCGCTCGACACCCCCGTCGCGGCCGTCCCCCACCGCGGCCCGACCCGCCCACGGAAGG